CAGCACCTCCCAGGGTAAAGACGTATCCACTAGTGAATTTTGAGTCTTTAATATCCGATATCCAATTTGCATCGCTGTACCTCTTGTGTATTGCTAGATATTTGGTATATTGTAAGCCATAATTCTGGGTATGTCTTAGATACCTAAGTACCCTAATTATCGCTTTCCAGTGATTTGACCCTGGATTGCTTGTGTACCTACTCAATTTGCTCACAACATAGGCTATATCCGACCTAATGCAATTCATTAAGTACATCAAGCTTCCAATTATCTGAGAGTACTCTAATTGTGATATGCCTACACCTGTATTCTTTAACAAATGAAAACTAATGTCAACAGGTGTTTTACTAGGACAATCATCATGCTTTTCAAAATTCTCCAAAATCTTCTCAACATAATGAGACTGAGATAAAGCATATCCTTCAGATGTTCTAGTAATTTTTATTCCTGAAATACATCTGCTACTCCCAAATCTTTCATTTCAAACCTTTTGTTCAACATTTTCTTTGTAGATTTAATCATGTCATTATTACTTTCAATAATGAGCATGTCATCCACATAAAGACAAACTATGATATAGCCTTTGTCTATGCTTTTAACATAGACGCATTTGTCATATTCGTTTATCTTAAAACCATCCGAAAGCGTAGCGTGATCAAACTTTTCATGCTATTATTTCAGAGCTTATTTTAATCCATAAAAGGATTTGACAAGTTTAAAAATCATTTTCTCTTGGCTGGGAATTTGAAACCCTTCCGGCTGTTCCATATAGATTTCCTCATCTAACTCGCCATTTAAAAAGGTTGTTTTAACATTCATTTGATGTATCTCCAGATTATACAGTGCTACAATCGCTATTAGCATGCGAACATATGTTATTCTTGTCACTGGTGAATAGGTGTCAAAATAATCAAGGCCTTCCTTCTGCCTGTATCCCTTAACAGCAAGCCTTGCCTTATATTTATCTATTGAACAATCTGGTTTTATTTTTCTCTTAAATATCCACTTATATCCAAGAGGTTTACATCCTGGTGGAAGATCCACCAGTTCCCAAGTATGATTTTGCAAAATATATTCAATTTCACTATTCACAGTCTCTTTCCATAATAGAGTTTCAGAACCTGACATTGCTTTCTTGAAGTTTTAAGGCTCATTTTCTAACAAGTAAGTCAAAAAATCTAGACCAAATGATTTAGAGATCTTGGCCTGATTGCTACGTCTAGGTTCATCTTCTTCATTATCATTTTGGTCTTCTCTACTACCTATAGCAGTATCAAAAATTCTTTTATTTAAACTTGTCTTTTCAGTTTTCATGTAAGGAAAAATGTGTTCAAAAAACTACGCATTTATTGACTCAATAATAATATTTACATACATATCAAGATTTTCAGATCTATGAATTTAGAATCTGTATGCACTGCTATTATTTGCATAACCAATGAACACACAATCAACGGTTTTTGGTTCTATCTTAGTCATTTTGGGACTAGGGATTGCCACCTTGGCCAAATACCCCGACACTTTGAGATAATTGTAGGTAGGTCATCGACCTTTCTATACTTCATAAGGTGTTTGATTGATTTTCTTGGGGGTACCCTGTTAAGGATAAAGTTAGCAGACAAAATCGCTTCCTCCCACAAGTTCTGAGGTAACCCTAAACTAATCAACATGACATTCATCATCTCTTTAAGAGTTCGATTCTTTCTCTCAGCAACTCCTTTAGACTGAGGAGAATAGGGTACAGTGATTTGGTGAATAACACCATGTTTAGAACAAAATTCCTCAAATGGTGCATCATACTCGCCACCTTTGTCACTCCTCACTACCTTAATAGTTTTGCCAAGTTGATTTTCAACCTCAAGCTTATATTGCTTAAAAGATTCTAAGGTTTCATCTTTACTTTTCAATAAGTAAACATAGCAATATTTAGTGCAATCATCAATTAAAGTAATAAAATACTTTTTATCTCCTCTAGTTTGAACAAATTTTAAATCACAAAATATCTGTGTGAATTAAACTTAGAGGTTCAATACTTCTTTCTATTTTATTAAATGATGCTTCAGTGAGTCTTGCCTCAACAAAAATCTCACATTTATGATTAGGATCAAACTCTAAGTTTGGTAAACATTCTAAAGAAACTAGTCTACGCAAATAATTAAAATTTACATATCATAATCTACTATGCCATAAAAAAGAAGACTCAGCAATACAAACAGAAGATGTATTATTATTATTAATAGCCAAATTGGGTACAACAATTAATACATTGAGCTTAAAAAGCCCATCACTCATGTAATCTCGCCCCACATACATTCCACTCTTGGAGAGTACAACCTTATTAGGTTCAAAGACTAATCTAAACCCATTCTTGATCAACAATGACCCAGAAATCAAATTCTTGCGAATCTTCAGCACAAGAAGTACATTGTTAAGAGTGAGCTCTTTCCCCGAGGTCATTTTCAGCATAATCTTTCATTGTCATTCTACAGTTAATGTGGAGGAGTTTCCTATAAAAAGTTGTTCTCCATTTTCCACCACTTTGTAAGTTATGAACATCTTATCTACATAGATATGGCGGGTTGCTCGAGTATCCACCCACCACTCCTTGGGATTGCCCACCAAATTAGCCTCAGAGACTACTGCAGTAAGATTGATGTGTGTCACTTCATCGAAAAGATAAAAATCCTCGGTTATGTTGGCTTGTGCTGGCTTTTTGCTTGAACTCTCTCTGTCCTTGTGAACGTGACAATCTTTAGCGCGATGTCCATCTTTGCCGCACACAAAACACTTGCCTTTGAACCTCGTGTTGAACTCGTTGTTGATCTTACTAGTGGATCCTTGTTTAAGACCATTGTCATCATGCTTCCACTTCTTCTTGTTGAATTTTGACCGTTGTCCTTGTTCCACAACATTTGCTTTAACCTACATGATATGGTTTCCTGACTTCTTGTCGATACCACAGTTGTCCTCCTCAATTCTAAGTCGCACTGTCAATTCCTCCAATTTCATCTCCTTGCACTTATACTTCAAATAATTCTTGAATTCTTTCCAGGATGGCGGTAATTTTTCAATAATCGCCGCTACTTGGAAAGATTCACTGAGAATCATCCATTCTGCATGTATGTCATGGAGAATTAATTAGAGATCTTGAACTTGGCTAATAACCGTCTTGGAATCCATCATTTTATAATCCAAAAAATGGCCAACAACGAATTTCTTCATACCAGCATCCTCTGTCTTCTATTTCAAATGTAGAGATTCCCACAGCTCTTTTGCGGTGCTTTTGACACTATACACATTATACAATGTATTATCCAACCCATTGAGTATATAATTCCGACACAGAAAATCACCATTCTTCCGTGCATCACCTGCAGCAACCACTTGCCGTCAGTTTCTTCCTCGTTCAGTGCTGGAGCTTTTTCTTGAGTGAAGCGAGCCAAATTCAATGCAGTAAGACAAAACATCATCTTTTGTTGCCATCTTTTAAAATTAGTTCTATTGAATTTTTCTAGCTTCTCCCCATGATTTACCGATACCGCCAGAGTCATTACTGGCACAACGGGTGTGGGGGTCAGAGTAAGAACAGTCTCAGTACTCTTTGTTTCAGTAGTTATATTTCTGACGAAATAATAATGCAACAATCATAAATTTACACAAAATATATTTTGCACACAAAACTGACAGAAAAATATTTTATAACAAAATTCCAATGATAAACAGTATATTACTACTATTAAATAAATTAAATAGTATATGACTATTATTTAATTTCTCGAGACAAAATATTTGTCTACATAACACACAAATAAAAAAAAACAGAAATCTACTTTAAGATTGTTATTCCCCAGTGGTTGTGTGTGTGTAATTTAAATGTATAAATAAAATAAACAAAAATTAATAAATAAATAATTCAATAAATTAAATTCTAAATTAATCGCTTATAGAAACTTTAAGTCGAGACTTGTATTGGACATAATCTCCTTAAAGTAAATTTCGCCCTCGCTCCGGTGCTTCGAGATTTACTGGCATCTACTTCCCAGGATGCAATGACTATTACTTGATTTGCAGCACTACAAAATCAAGTTTGGTGAACCAAACAATGTTGTCACTCTCTCTTTCTCTTCCTATAGACTAAATGTTGGACAAATGCAAGGGCACAGGAAGACGAAAAGAAGAAGGAAAAGATGTTTGGAAACAATTGGATGCTTGAATTGTTGGAATGGCAAGCTATTTATAGCCAACCATGCACCTATTCAGGTAGGCCTTGGTGGCTGCTCAGCCATGGCCGGAAAGTCACGGACCGGAATGGTACCGGTTCGGAAAGGAGGCAAAAAATTTGAATTTGAAATTTTGGTGCAAAATTTGAATAATTTCTGTAAGGATTTCAAAATTTTCCCGAAAGAATTGAAAAAATTCAAACGAATTTTGTCCAAAAATTAAAGCTAGGACCCAACTCACACCATGCACCAGCACCCGGCAGGTTGGACGGCGGCGGCGCGCGTGTGGTGGTTTTGGGCTAAGCCCACTTTGTCCATAACTCCCCTCATTACAAAACTTGGGGTGTCCCTTGGGGCCCATCCCAAGTATGGCAAGCTAGAGTTTATATACTCATATAAACTCTCTCTTTGTTTCAATGTGGGACAAAGCCATTTAATGAGTAAACCCACATTGTCTCTTCAACTTCCATGTTCACAAACTCGAAAATGGGCGTTAAATTCTCATTCATCCAAAAATGGTTTTGAGCAACCAAATACACGATGTTATTCACTACACCGCATTAAATATAAACCCATTTTGAAACATCAAAAATAACGCTTGGGTCCTACCTTAATTAGTGCTCAAAGTTAGCAAAAAATAAGATATTTACAAAGCCGTTTTTGAACAAGTAACATTTAACAACATTTTTCCAAGACAGAAAGTAGTTTCAATGATACTTAACTGCATTTTTTTTTGCCTTGAAGTGAGATCGGTAGCTACTCTTGCTGAGGTTGTGAAGCTGTTGCTGGGTTTGATGAGATGGTTTCTGGGACCCAGCGAAAGTATTACTTATTGGGCGGGAAGGGAGGTGTTGGGAAAACAAGCTGTGCTGCATCCCTTGCTGTAAAATTTGCAAATCATGGTCACCCTACCATTGTCGTTTCCACTGACCCTGCTCATTCATTAAGTGATTCTTTTGATCAGGTTTTTAAATGTGCTTCCACATAAATTTTTGGATTGAAAAGTGAAAATTGCTCTACATGTTTTCATTTGTCCCATAAGAAATTAGTTCTTTTACAAAAGTGTGTCTATGACTTACTACAATTTGCATTTACACATTGTATTAAGGATTTGGCTGGAGGGACGCTTGTTCCAGTTCAAGGATTGGATTCTCCACTTTATGCACTTGAGGTAGTTAATTAAGCGATGATGCCCACCCAAATGATATTTACTCATAATAAGTCTGCTATTTCATCTATGAGCTGTTTGATGCGTGTAATTAATTGGTAGACTGACTGCGAAACTGTGGCAGATAAACCCTGACAAAGCTAGGGAAGAATTCCGTACTGCTGGTCAAAAGCATAGTGGCAGTGGAGTCAGAGATCTGATGGATAGCATGGGCCTTGGAATGCTTGCTGAGCAGGTCAGAACATTTCTTATTTTATTAGGTATTGCCTTGTCCACATTAACTTTGCTTGACATGGGGTACAGAAGTCGTCAATTTTATTAGAGTAATACTAGAGACCTTAAAAATTCTACCAAATTTTTTACTAAATGTCTCACATGGGTGTGGGACACTATCTCATTCTTGCTTAGAGCCTTCTACATGCACCAGCTAAAATTTATTCCCAACCTCACGTAGTTACATTATCATGAAGAATGTTTTAATTAAATTCTCCGCTTTTCAGTTTAGCCAGTTTAAGTGATGACACCGATAAGGATAAGCATGAGAAATGTAATTATAAAAATTTGTGTAGAAATTTAATGTATAAAGAGAAAAAGAGAATTGTATTATTGATTGATGTTTGTAATTGTTCAATTATTGAATGCTACAATGATTCCTATATATAGAAGAGTAGGTGGTAGTAGGTGGTAGGTGGAGTAGGTGAAGTGGAGGTGGTAGTGGTGTAGTGGGTTATTAAATTCTCCGCTTATCAGTTTAGCCAGTTTAAGTGATGACACCGATAAGGATAAGCATGAGAAATGTAATTATAAAAATTTGTGATTGGTAATGCAGACTTAACTACAGGTTTCTTGAAGGGAAAAAAAAATGTAATGCTCATTGTAATTGATCATGCAGCAGAACTAGCGTTTCGAACCCAGTTGGAATCTGCTTTGGTTCAATTTTATCCTTTTCTCTATATATCTGCTTTAACTTGGAGAGATTGTTTGACTTTTGACATGTACTTCACTGTATTGAATCTTTACCCCTTATAAAAATGTCACAGTTAGGAGAATTGAAATTGGACGAGCTGTTGGACACTCCTCCACCTGGTCTGGACGAAGCTATTGCAATTTCCAAGGCATGTATTGTCAATAATAGGTTTTTTTGGTGTAAAGATGGTAGTGAAAGGTTTCATATTGCATTATTCTGTCATCTCTAATGACAGAAACTGGTTTACAGGTTATGCAATTTCTTGAATCACAAGAATATAGTATGTTCACTCGGATTGTTTTGGATACAGCACCAACGGTTAGTAAAGTTTTATGAATTTAAAATTAAACTTGGTGTATAGTTGTCTGTTCATTTATAAGTTGTTTTTATAGGGCCATACACTTCGGCTTTTGTCCTTGCCAGACTTCATGGATGCATCTATAGGCAAGATGATGAAGGTATGAACTTGGATGTGTCATGGAAACTACCCAAGCCTGTGATGTGTCAAGTTATTTACTCAGTAAAGAATATCACTGGGTTTTATCTGAACTATAAAAGCAAAACATTGTTAACTTAAATTTACCTATTAATTACTCAACGGCATGTCATTTGTGGCTCCCAAGCAAAGCTCCATTTTCTCTCTCTACCTATTAGTTGCTTTCTTATCTTATTGTAGGCGATTTTTTTCCATTTCATTTCTACATTTGCTTCATTTACCTTTTTCATATTACTCAATTCAGCTAAAGAAGAAGATAGCTTCAGCAACTTCAGCTATTAAATCGGTTTTCGGGAAACAGGAGACACAACTCGGACTGGATGCTGTAAGCATAAAGTTTGTTTGTGAAAGCTCTCTTGTGGGGGTTTAAAATACTAAGCAATGTGTGTTTGTTTTTGCAGAGTGACAAACTAGAGCAACTAAGGGAGAGGATGGCAAAAGTACGAGAACTTTTTCATGACTCAGAGACCACAGAGTTTGTTATAGTGACAATCCCAACCGTAATTACCCCTTCATTCTTCATTCTTTTGTATTCACCACTCTTAAATTGGAACCATCAATTGTACAGCATGTTTCTTCCAGTAGCTGTAATGTGCATGTTTTTTAATGTATTCACTTAAGGTGATGTCAGCTGATTTCTTTAATGAATTTGATTTAACATTAGTTTCGCAGAGCCTGCAGACCAAGTCAAAGTTGTAAGTAAACCCAAAAATGTCTAAAATGTTTTAACATTTGTCTCAATAGCAGAAATTTTGTTCATGATGGTCTCAATGGTATAGAAACATATCAAATTCCAATTGAATTTTATTTTTATTATTACTTGTGTTAATTAAGCATATTGATGTAATAACGGCACTTCTAGATCAGCAATTTGCCTGTTTTCAACATGACATATCCAGACATAGGCATATCGGACTCCATTTAGGTGGTCACTTATGTTAGATGCTTCATATCCATGATTCATGCTAACACCCATGTTTGAGGCCTAGTCACATAGCTAAGGATCAAAATTTGTTTCTTCTGTTGTTCGATTAGTATGGAGACAGGAAATGTTTTGGTGACATTTCAAAAATGTTTTGAAATCGATAAAAGAATTTGAAAAATACATAGAAATGTTTGGAAACATAAGTTGAAATCTATATAAATGTATAAATGCCTAATAATTGATTAAATAGACATACTGACATATATATATTATTCACAAACATAAAATGACAAGTGTAAAATAAAAAAACCTTGTAGTCTCTGCATATAATAATTTGCACAACTTTTTATTTTTTTATTGGACTTCATACAATAGTGTAGTCATCTAGAAATCTTGAAATTTTAATGGACCAGTTAGTGCCACTTAGCAATTTCGCCATGCATAAAATGTTTTGTTGTCTGATCTTTAATTGGTTTTGTCTATAATTTGCTTTACTGACCATATTTTAGATGTATGATTTTCTACGTAGGTTATGGCAGTTAAAGAGTCTTCACGATTGTGTGCATCCTTGAAGAAGGAAAATGTTCCAGTGCAAAGGCTTATAGTTAATCAAGTCCTACCCAAATCTGCATCAGACTGCAATTTTTGTGCAATGAAAAGAAAGGTGATTCTTGAAACATTCTAAATGGTTCATAGAATGTCTTTTTAAACTGCTAGTCTTCCATGATTAGCAATATGTGCAATGGGACTGATTCATCTCCCTTCTAGTACAGTTAAATCTGATCTAAAGAATGCACGGTGAAAATAATTTTCTATTTGAATCATTCCTGGTTGGCCTATTGGTCAGGTTCGTTTGTTCTGTTTAATATTGGAGATTGGAATGTGGATGTTCCCCTTGTCCAAAACTTCCTCGTGTTGTATGTCCGGAATTATCATCAATAATTATGGTTTAGTCATTTGTACACGTGTAGGCTTTATTTTTATTTTTATTTTTTTCAAATGACTTCAAAGAAGAATATCTTTAGGGTTTTGAATGGAAAGGCTTGAAAACCTACAGATTGTGAAGCTGAATAGAAATATATACTAAAAACTTAAATTCTTGGTAAGTCCAAATCAAGGCAGATTAAGCAAAAGAGAGGGATGAAAACAGGGAGAAATGCCTTTTTCATGCAACTTTTGACTTGATTTTGAAGGCATTAATGCATTGTAAAACTCCAGTTGATTGTACATTTAATGAACTTTGCAGTAAAACTGGTTTCATAATTTGTGGTGGGTAATGGAACCCGCATGGGGTAGCCCATCCATTAAAAGGATGAACTCTGGGGTGAGCCATAAACTTGGTCTTCTTGCATTTGACTCTAGCTAGTGTCTCCTCAGCAAACTCCCGTTGATTGTACATTTAATGAACTTTGCAGTAAAACTGGTTTCATAATTTGTGGTGGTGGGTAATGGAACCCGCACGGGTAGCCCATTTGTGAAAAGGATGAACTCTGGGGTGAGCCATAAACTTGGTCTTCTTGCGTTTGACTCTAGCTAGTGTCTCCTCAGCTTAACCGATACCTGTGGTTTGTGTTTTTTTCCATTCTTCATTTGCCTTTCCGTGTAAATTGACTTTTAAGAGGAGGAAACTTTTCAATCATCCAAAGCATTACAGTTGTGATCGTGTATCTAAATGTTGTTGCAGGATCAGATGCGAGCACTTGATATGATCCGGAATGATCCAGAACTTGCCAGTTTGACTTTAATCCAGGCACCCCTAGTTGATGTAGAGATAAGGAGTGTTCCAGCTCTTAAATTTATGGGGGATTTGGTTTGGAGATGAAGCTTCTCTTTCTGGATATATCAACAAGGTTAGAAAACCTACTTATTCGCCAAATTGCTATTAATATTAAGCATGACTCTGTTTCTATTTCCTGCAAAAAAATTAAATACTACTTTTACATCTCGAAAGGATTGGAATGAAAATCAAATAAACTCACCCTGGTTCTTCTTCGTTTTAAAGGTTTTAGAGCTAGATGTATTTCGATTGAGTTTGGCAATAGCTTTTTTGCTTTTTAGTTTTAAATAAAGTAGTTGCTAAAAAAGCTGATGCATTTGGCAAATGCAAAAAGTGCTAGCTTTTTTTGTTGTTGGAGAAGTTTTAGGTAAGTTGATATATATATATTTTTTTTTCTTTTGCTTCTTTTGCTCTTTTTTTTTTTTTTTTTTCACAATTGTCTGCAAAAAAAGTCATAACCTAACAGTCTAGTTTTTTTGTTTTTTGGATAAAAAGTGACTAAAAAAGCTGCAGCCAAATAGGCTATGCATTTTGCTTAATATGTTACCATCTTCCAATTCATATGGAAAATCCATAAAAACTGAAGTTGTCTTTTCTCTTTTATTGTCTTCCACTCAGGAATACAGACACCAGTTTTGAAAGAGAAGCTACCTGCATGCTAGAGGCCCAAGATCTTGTCGAACTGCATGTGTGCACTCGCGCATGCATGTATGAGAGAGAGATTAGGATAACTTAAGTGAAGCCCTATGAAGTGAAATTTTGACTCTCAAATCATAGTCAATTTTCTCATACAAACAAACACTATATAATAAACTATTATTCTGGCACCAGATTGATATGCTTGAAAATGAAAAGAAAAGCAAACACGTCATTTTGTTCTTGGTGAGTTGGTGTATTGATTGTGTACTTTATGTATGTTTTTTCATTGCAGTACTGCATGCTTTGTTAATGTTTGTAACTTTTATTGTTATAGAATGATGTCTTAAGAGTTTTGAAAATCTCTTTTGCTGTGCTAGAGAGTTCCTTTACTTTCCACATCTGATAGGGAAAAAAAAACAAAAATTAAATAATTGACTCTACCCAAATCAACCTTTAAAAAAAATAATAAAATAAAAAAAGAGGAAAAGAAAAAGAAAAATCGTGGAAAACCCAAGACCTCATAACAGAGGAACTATGTTAACAAATTAAAAATGATTACATACAGAGCTACATATACAATTTTAGGGATCACATTTGTTCCTTTTCCCTTTTTCCCAATTTGCCTTTTCTCGAGCTGCAGTCTGGTTTTCATATACAAAATTGTGTGCAATGATTTCTGTGAGAGAGATACCAAAAGCTTTGAAGCATCTTCCATCAAGTTATCAGGAATTCTTTGAAACGTGAGTCTCTCCTGGATTAAAATTCTTCTTCTCCATTTTTGTACAAGAGGAAAGAAGAAGAGAATGACGGACCTGGACCTATTTCTTCTGGAACGTTACCAAACAAAAGAAGGCTACACAACGGCTAACTATACCCCCGAGGATGAGATAAATTATGCAAGGAAACCAATCATTGAGCTTATAGTTGTAATTCATTAGTGAACCACATCTTGTTATCAGCCACACTCCAGAATACCTTTTAAAAAAATATAAAAAAAAAATGCAGATATTAACCAAAAGTTATGCTTGGTCTACAGATTTTGATGTGAAAGAATGATGCTTTCAATAATACATTGTTTGTGATTGTTCTGATTGTGATTCCAATTTCCTCAAGCATCGTAAACATATTACAAAGGCTGGAAAATAAATAATTTCAAGAAATCCTATTGTGAGAATTTTACTACACTGAAACGAAAAACAAAAGAAGAATTTTTAACCGTGCACATAAACAATAACAGACATCTTCCACATTTAATTGATCAAGGAAGTGTACAAAAAATAAAATAAAAATGATTGTTCTGGAGTTAATGGGAACTTACTAATGTAAATTGGAACCTAAAAACCTTGTATGAAATCTCAGCTAAGATTCGACTTGGAGGTGATAAATTCCTAATTAAAATGATCTTAAAACTTTTTCAATGGCTAATTCACAAATACCCAACACAAAGCTCTGTAATCTAGGGTCAACACTTTCTTTAGCCACTAAAACTATATCAAGAATTTGCCTACCACAAAGGCACTTTGGAATTTAGAAATCACTTTCCAACCATCTCCTTTAACCGTTTTGTTGACACTTTGGCCAAAATCCTGTCAAGTTACCCTCCTTAAGCCAAAGTTCCCTAGATTTTTGTCTCCAACGAAGCTTGTTGATTGAATTCACCCATGGTTATAGCCCTAATATGGTTGAAACATGCAAATTCTCATAGTTTCAACTTCGTTCTTTGTCTTGTTTTCTACCGTATGCTTGTTAATTAAAACCAACAGTGTGGTTTACACTTGTAAATGCCAATGCATCTAAACAACTCATCAAAAAAATGGGATTAGAGCTAGGAAAGAGTTCATAACAAGACGACTCGAGATCTGTTTATTTGTAGATGCACGAAATCTATATAAGATGTCTACAAGTATATTTGCTTCTCTAAAGATATGCTTCCACTCTACAAACCATTGCTCGAATCACGTGAGGTTGACTTTATGGATCCATTTTCCTACGTTAGCTTTATTTAAAGACAAATCCTGGGTTTAGTCCAAGGCTATTATGTCCTCAACACCTCAATCAATTTTTTTCTTGGCTTTCATCTCGTCCTTTTGGCACCTTCTACTAGGATCATGGCACTCCTTTTTATTCAAGTCTTTTTTTTTTTTTTTTTTTTTTTGGCCACACGGTAGGAATTGAGTAGGTTAGTAGCATTAGATTACCACAGCAGGCAGAATTATTGATATTAGTCTGTCATTTTAGAGATGTTTACACCTAGCTAATTCTACATGGACCCGGTATGTGTTCAGATGTGGTTCTCAAATCCTGAGCCAAGTATAGCACTGAATTAGGAACTTAAATTGGTCCTGATATGCAGTAGATTTTCAGCTAGTTCACTAGTATTGGTCCTACATAGGCATGTGATCGTTCTATTAGGATGTGTATGTGCCCATGTTTGTGCCACGCATTTATAAAACCGACAATATAAATAAATTGACTGGACATGGAAAAAGGGTAATCATTCCAAACCTTTCAGCATTTGCTATCACAAATGCTTCCAAAGCCCACTTTGTATAGCACATGTTTTCTACTATCTTTAGAATTCCTTCTGTGTAATTCTGATTTGCAAGGAGAGTCAAAACTACTGGAAGAAGCACTGACCACTGCAGGAAACAAAAGTAGTTATAACTGGAAGAACTATATATATATATATTTTTGATAAATAAAATTTATTGAAGAAAGAGCATCCAGAAGATGCTAAAGAATACAAGGAAACTGAAAACAAAACAACCAAGATAGTAAACTAATCAACTACTACACATATAAAGTTCAAGAAACGCACCAGTTGCGCTGGACCAGGTTCGAGGTAAATGGCAAATGCATAAGCAATACCAGTCACACAATACACCAGACAAACCAAAACAATGTAATTATCAAAGAAGGACGATCTTGGGTTGTTGAAGAAGTAAAACATTGAGAGATAGACAACAGGCTTTATGATTGTATTGAAATGGTCAATTGTATCCTTTGCGAGAAAGTAAGCCAAGCTGCTCATGCCAGAAGCACTCTCTCTCCAATAGTGTAACTTATCCAAAGCAAATGATCTCAAAGCCGCAATTCCACTGAGGAGAGCTGAAAACCAGCAACAAATATTTTGGAATATCAGAAAGAGCTCTTTTTTTCTTTTCGTTTTTTTCCCTCTAAGCAATGAGAAAAAAGGACAAGCCTTTAAAAGATTAAATAAACAGTGATTGTTAGATTAACCAGTTTCTTTTCTTTTCTTTTTTTTTATTCCTTTAGTTGAATTTTTCTTTACAGGAACAACAGTATCATATTTAAAACAATAGACAACTGACAAAGGCAATGCTAAAACATAAATTATCCCAACTTATCATAAGCTCACAACTTCAAGTATACAAATAAAATGCTGTAGGAGCATGGCGCTGCAAAGAACATTCAGGTCTTTAACTTACAAATTGCAATGACTGTGTAAGTGTATCCAAGAGCTCCAAAAGTTTCATCGCTCACTTTAGCAAGTGTTCCTAAGCAGATTCCAGCAAGCAATAAAATCAGAAAATCTACTGCTTGCATTCTAGATTCTCGTAGACGCTGCTTGCCAACCCTGAAAAAAACCAGAAACAGCACAGGTCAGATTTCAATCATCAGAGATAATGCAAACTATATGAACTAGTTTTATTTCTTTCATAGAAAATATGGCTTCAACCTCCGACATTGTACACATATCATGCTTATGAGCAATGCCTATATGGATCCACAATGGCATACATTACACTATTCTTTGTCATCATTCTTATATATTTTCAGAAAAAAAAAAAATTTAAAATAACGGTTTATGAAAGTGGAACAGAATATAAGGCTATACCCTTCTTTTTGATAATAAATGGATTTGGTTCTTGCAAGAAAGAAATAGAGTCTACGGAGTAGTTAAGATTTGTGAAATTGAAGACAATTTGAGATGAAGCAAGTAAAAAGGGAAAAAGGAAATCACTTATTACCTCCCGAGGAAATATCTGTATTGCTGGAAAACACCGGGGGTTTTCCGGTCGGATAAATCTTGTGCCTTTAAAAGTTGATGTTGTAAATGAGCCTTCTTCAACTCAGCATTAAACTTCACATCTTGCCATAGATCTCCAGCAAAAGATTGTCCATCGGACCCTGGGGCAGCAGCATTTGTTCCGTGAGCTGAATTATCAGCAGAGGATGCTGACATTCCAGCAGAAGTTAGCATATCTGGGGGTACTGTGTATCCATTATGAAGCATCCATCGAAGGGGAAGTTCTTTATAGTTTATGCCTGAGCTTGTACTCGGTTTTACAATTCCTTCTAGAATGTCAATGAAGTGATCTGGAGGATTAACACGATCAGGAACATTGATCCCAAGGCCTGCAAAGTACTCTTCAACTTTCTTCACCGGTCCATGATATGCAGTAAGACCACCTTTAGCCAGGAGTATCAACTCATCAAACATCTTGAACAAGGAGTAGCTGAAGCAAGAAATTAGCCATAACCTTTAGTTAGATGACAAAGGTCAGGAAATAGATTAGGCCCTAACATTTCCAGTTATTGGAACAATTGGATAGTTGACACCATGCATTTATATATTTTGGAATTAAGTATTAAAAGAAAGGACTAATTTTTTAAGTAGCTAAGCATCTACTTGTCTCACCAGTATTCCATCGAGCTACTTCATAATGAAAGTATAGAGTTTATGATTCAAAGTGATACATATATAGAGTGGCCAAATTTAATTTTTCATTACGACTTTACTCAATTAATAAATTTGATGGAATTAGTTGTCAAATAGATTTTTCTTCTATTTTCTGAATAAGAAAGAAAATGAACTAAAAAATAATTTTAAATATGCACTGGATAAAATTTAGATGAAATTAGAATTCTTGAAAGGAGAGAATAAAGGACAAGAAATTTGTGATAGAAAGATGAGGTGCAAACTGAAATTTATGAATTCCAAAAAAAAAAAAAAAAACCTTCAATTTTTTCTTTAATCTTAGACTATCTTGTACAGAAACAGCCACTCCTCTCCAGAAATGGGGGTAAGGTTGCAAATATCCCCCCTCCCCTCCCTAGTGGGAGCCTCATGCACTGGGTCATCCTTTTTAATCTTAGACTACCTTATCCTGCAAGAGTTGCAGATAGATTTTCTATGACAAAAACATAACTTTAGAAGGATCCACCTTTTATTTTTTTTATTTTTTTTTATAACCAACTACAATTTTATTAAAACAAAAGAGAAAAGGAGAAACCAATAGATTGAGGACAAAAAGTCCACCATAAAGAAAAAAACTACATATCACATAAAGCCTGCCAATCCCCAGAAATCAAAAATAAAAGAACACCCTCGAATGGAGAAGTTACTAAAGCCCCAAAAGAGGATAGAAAAAAAAATCTTATCCCACAACCCTTCAATCTTGTTCTACCTTGTCTTCAAAAAATCTATCATTCCTTACCAACCCAATTACCCAACACATGGCACAAAGAACACAGTTTCAAAGTACTCGAGCCTTCTCATTAGATCCAGATTCTCTATAATCAATCATAAACATTTGGACACTAGCCAGTTCTACCAAATGAAACAATTTGTGCTATAAATTCAGAAACAAGGCATTACAAAAATAAATGATCAATAGTTTCCTCATTCTCCTTGCACAAGTCCATGAAAAAAATTTAACTTTAAGAGGCATCCAAATCATCTTATAAGAACCAAAAGATGTACAGTTTGGGTGTCAATAATCTAAACAAAGGATTTGCAATAAAATAAGCCTGAGGAATGAAGAATCCACCTCTTCTATCAAAAGATTCAAGTCTTAAGGATACATCATCTTGAGACATCATCAAGAATATATAAAAAGGAAGACAACTCATTCTCATGATCATTGAGATTCCTTAAGAAATTAAATTCAAATAAATCAGAGTAACATATGAAGAAGCCATGGATGCAATGGAAACATTATGACAACGAGAAAGAGGGTACAGGGATCCATCAATTTCATCTTGAAAAATCAGCAACTAAGGATTCAGAAAAACTGTCTCAATGTCTAATCAAATCCTTCTTAGCAGTTCTTCTCTATGTAGAGCATGCGGAGGGCATTGTTTAGTGCAATGTAGAAGCTTGGGCTTCCAAGCATGTGATCATGAACTTTAAGTCTTCCCCTCCCATTAAGGAGCCAACACTGGGTAATGTCCTTTCTGCAGAACTATATATTCTACTCAATCTTAAACCATTACCTTCTTAATTATTAACCATAGTTTTGTGTATCTAGCAAGTTAATACATATTTGTTTAATTTTCTTTCAATTTTTGGTAAAAAGTAGGTGACTTTTGACACATGTTTATACCACTATGGTTGCTTCTGGGTGGTAAAAGCTTGTGTTAGACAGATTGAGGAAATGGGTTGAGTTTAAAGGCAGCTACTTCATGCAAATTGCAGCAAAACGTTAGGTTCTGTGCCCATTCTACTGCTCCTGCACCCTTGATTATTAGGGAGCAGCACTGGGGGACCTCATGATTTTCTCTTTATATAGCTATAGGGAGAGGAATAGCAAGCTGTTCTTTAAATCAAAGGGAAGCACACTGAAAAGTAACAGAAATACATCCAAGACGACCAAGAACCATGGCATTAAGTATCCTAGAGTTAACCAAGGGATTGTATTGTAGCTTGTGTGGCTAGCCCTTTGGCCACCAAGTCTCTCCTAAGGGGAGGTCTTGGGTTCCACTCTTAGGAGTGGAATGGGAGGCAAGACTTAAGTGCTTGCAAGGAGAGTGTGGGAGTTACTGACTTTCGCCAATCAAAAAAAAAAAAGTATCCTAGAGTTCCTGTAACTCATCCTTGTTTTTAACCCAGAAAAGAAAAGAGAAAAAGGTCTTGCTTCAAATAAACTCTCAGTGAGAAGTTGTCAATAGCATACTAACTGCACCAATATAAGACACCCAGAAAACACTTGGAATTCAGCAAGTGTCTTTTTAAAACCTACAGCATGCACAGAGCCATATAATGAAAAAATGAGGAAATTCAGGAAGACAACAGACTTAGCTCAACAAAGCCCTATCCAGGCAAAGGAAGATGCCAAAGCAATAGGGTGGAAAATGGTTGATATTTCATGAAAATAAGCAATTTTTAAAATGTTTTCGAATTACCTCGGTTGGTGAACCACCATGCAAATATTTACTCCTTCTAAAGCTTCACGACGAAGTGCTCTAAGTAACAACTGTGAAGAAGAACTGTCCAAACCAGAAGTAGGTTCATCTAAGATCAATAGAGAAGGTTCCATGACCATTTCCAGCCCAACATTTACTCGCTTCCTTTGGCCTCCAGAGATTCCTCGCTTCTCCACAGTCCCAACCAGGGAATCCCGAACAGGCTGCAGTCCCAAAGATTCAATGACTCTTTCAACAACTAGAACTTTTTCCGGTTTAGGCAGATCAGCTGATAGTCTACAAACAGAGATGCAGTGGAGTAAAAAAAAATATATAACTCATTTATGTAAGTACTTGCGTCACAGCTAATGAAAAAAGAAGCTAAACATAGGCAACAATAGCACGAAGCAGGACAGAACATACTAGTTATTTGGGGTACGATTATTGCACAAAAACTTTGATATATTTGAATGAAAACCTTTACTCATAAACCAATGAAGTTACATGGTAATGAGTCTAATGACTGAAAATGGATTTTCATCTTATGAAACTTAAGCAGAATCAAGACCAGATTTCAAATCTGTATCAGGTGAAGTAAAACAAATATTTTTTTGGATCACAACAATACAAAAGTTAACATGAGATAAACAGGAACTTATAATTTTCAATGTGAAAGACTTGTGTTTTAGATGAAGGAAAGAATCTGAAACTGAAAATCTCAAGTGAACTATATGATGGAAATGTATTTTAGTTGTACATAAAATCTTATAGGTTATGTCATTTTACCGGTCTTTTTCCTTGCTGCTATTGTTTTCAAGACATGGTGTCATAATGTAAGTTAGTAGAAGTGAAACCCTGTAATACATCTAGATTTATTTTTGAATGCCAGATAATGAACAATGATTATAAAGTTGTCACATTGGTTACAAATTTGGTTTACTAATTTAATTATAACTATTTGGTTCCTGCAGTGTTGTGATTCTGGAGGAAATATCGAGTAACAACAGCAATAGGTAGTTATGTCACATAAATACAGATATACAGGTTGGCAATTAACTTTTAGGGTGAATATTTTAAGGTTCACAAATGAGGGAAAAAATCAAGCTACAACTGATCGACACTACATAACTACAAGTGGCATACCTGCACCTAGCACTGAACCACAGATTCTCCTCCACCGTCAAGTTTCCATGCACTACATCATCTTGGGGAACAAACCCAATAATTTTCTTGTAAGAAAGAATTGATTCTACCTTCCCATTTATAATAACCATACCACTCATAGTGCAACCAGTTGCTTTTCCGGCTAAAGCAGAAAGAAATGTTGTTTTCCCAGCTCCGGATGGACCCATGACAGCAGAAACACGGCCAGGCAAAATTTTCCCAGTTACACACCTCAACAGATGCTTGTTTTTCCCTTTCAGTGTAAGTGTTAAATCCTTGAAAGCAACCTCAATTGTAGGCCTACTCCGGATGTCAGTATCAGAAGCCATTGAAATGACTCCAGAGAAAGTCAAATTCTTGTTTTGCTCCTGCAGAGCTTTTTCCTTCTCAATTTGACCATATGCATACTTGAAAATTTGGCTGCGAGTATGCAACTGCTTACCCTTAGGCATGTTCTTTTTCAAATTTTTATCTCCAATCTCCAGATTGAAGCCTTCATGACTGTCAGGATCTTCATCAAGCTCATGCATCATCTTTGTAAGGTTGCTCTGCTCTTTTTTCTTTCCTTTCAGAGGCATTGGTGGTAAGGATGCATCTGTTCCAGGTTTAGGTTGGCCCAGACCCTTAAGCGGTTCCGGTTGTCTCACAGACTTTTTACGAGAAAATGTCCGTGATAACTGGGTCTGCAGTCCAACTGCACCCTTCCTAGCAACGTCTTTTGCAGATTTCCATCTTTCACGTGCCTGTACAGTTTCTCTAGCACTTCTTGCAGCTGCCTCCCTGGATTTTGCTTGCCTTTTTTCTCTAGTAGTGAGAACTTGATCGGAACAGTTGTAAATAATGAGAAGTATAAGTGTTAACCCAGCCTACATAGTAAAAAGAAAGGTTAAGTTTTTGAAGACTGTGTCTGCAAGATAAGTCATGAACATATTCAGAGCCCAAATAAGGAGAATGCAATATTCAAATCAATAAAAAAAGTCTAATAATTCCAGAAAATTTGTGATCTTGTGAACTTGATCTGTTAAAAGGAATTGAAATCAAATTTCATTTAAGTTTCTATCTACTGATAGAAAAGAAGGTATATATTTTAACTTATGCCAGTCAGTGCCACATCCATCACTATTCATTAAAATAGGAGCTCATGGAAAACTAAAGCACCCCTCATTTCGACCTCTTTTTTCTGTTGGCCCTCCTTTCCACTTGAAAGGAGATTGGGGTAGCCCAGTTGGGGCAGCACCCTGGAACATAGAAAGAATCACTAGCATGATGAAACATGTTGCCCTTGTCCTTATGCACACACTTTCAATATTGATTTTTTATAAATTAAATAAATAAAAATAAAGAACCACCAGACAAAGCACAGGAACATGATTGTGACCATTAGTGAATCTAAGTTACTGATAGAAAGTAAAATTAAAATTAAAAACCAAAATTGATAAAATATTTTATTTCACATATATAAGACACTACATTCAAATCTGCCTCATTTATATTATTTAAGAGTAAGCTGATCACTTACAAAAAGCAGGATGCCATATGCAGTAATATTCTGAATTTCAGTTTGTGCTTCACAAGTTGCCAAGCTAAAACACCCTGCAAGTTCATTCCCAAGGTTGCATTCTTTTAGAACCACCAGCTTAAGCAAGTTTAGAAGTCTTCAAACTTTAAATATTAATTATATATATATATGATGTATAATCACGAAAACAGTGAACATGAAAATGAATGAATTTTTATTTCCTGCCACTTCAAATTTCCCCTGGTACTTGCAAATTCTTCATCAAAAAACATCCTGTAGATTTACTTTGTTGCACAAGTGGAAAGTTTTTATTGGGTAAGGAGGGGATAGAAATTGTTCAAATATTGCTTCGTGGATGCTTAAATCACGAAATAGTCACTATCACCGTTAAAATTTGCATTTTCTATTACACTGGTTGTAGGCTCATGTAACTGAAGTTTCAAACATAGGGCTACATAACCACCACAATGTCTATCGGGTTCTGCTTGGGGCTTGTACATAAGCAGTAGTTCCATCTTGTCCAGGCAGTTCCTTATTGATGTAGACTACAATGGATAAGCAGTATCATTTAACCATTTCAAGAAAGACAGAAGATTTTATAGCAAAATTAAGAATGGAGAGCAGAAAGGCAATGCACCGATTTGTGATGCTCAACCAAACTAAAAGACCTAGAGGAGAATAGTAACGACTATGGTCTTTCAAAACTCTGTGTTCTCAATATTCCATTACCTTCATGTACTCAAATAGTTGAAAATTGAAAATGATGACGACAATAACAACCATTAAGCTACCTACATGGAACATAAAAAAATAAACAACTTTTTCTTTTTCCTTTTTTTCCCTCGGTTCCACACTTTTGTTTGTGAAACTGAATATAGTATCTTGAAGCACAATAGTTTCTTCCAGTCTCAAATGTGTTCAAAAATTAATATGAGTTTTCACTCATACATAATATAAAAACACACTAATGAAGATACAAATGACAGGGCCACTTGGCCCAACGATAAGGCTTGTTAAAGTACTTGCTTGTACGGTTCAAGTCATGAAAATAGTCTCTCCAAAAACAGGGGAAGGCTACATACATATTGCCCTCCCCAAACCCCACTTTAGTGAGAGCCTTGTGCACTAGGTCGCCCACTAATGAAGATACAAATCTTCTTAGGTGCTTAAGGAAATCTAGTTTTTAATTTCCTGCATAACGATTATGCATATAACTAGATGTCAAATCATCATTTCTCCAGATTTAATGGACTTCTTATTCCATTTCCATATAGCCCTATGTGCTGAAAAGATTTCTAATAGCTATGCATGTAATCAACTTATGTCAACTTAACAATAAAGACGAATCCAAAATCTAGGAAACATATTGAGGCGGTAGCTTTTATTTTTTTCATCAGTTATTATTTTCATAAAGGAAAAGCAACATGGTTAACTCATTAATAATTAAATGAAATGTATTAATTGATAAAAGAGATTAACTTCGATAAGTATGAAATGCAAACAAATGTATTGCGGATGCGAACCTGATCACGTGCCATGTCGTCAACGTTCGTGCCAATCCTCACAAGAATCAAAAGGTGCACTCAAAATCAAAAGAAACTAGTGATTTTGAATTTTTGGATGGGGTGGAAATTTAAAAAACAAAACTTGTATTTTTCCAAGGTTTCTATGAAATTAGAAGAAACTATCAATTCTTTTTTGGTTTTAAAAGTTGCTCTTGGTTCAGGTTTTTGGGAACCATGTCTTGACAAATTAACTTATTAATGTGTGATGTATTGCTTGATGAATGGAGTTCTTAAAAATCAATTTTATGGTTCACCCTTAAAAAAATGGACGCTTCATAAAATTATTGAGGTACAGCCCAACTATCAAGTACATCAACGGGTGTCACAACAATACTTAGATGAGTTTTGGCTGGTACAACCACTCTATTGTCCACTTCTAATAAACGTGATTGACCCAATTCTGGATCATCTTCTCAAAGCTAGTATTTCTCTAGATATGATTAGCCAAAATAATAAATTCTTACACTTCTAATAATAAATTCTTACATAGGAAGGAAGAAATGGGCAACACATATGCTTGCAACATATTTCCAACACACACACAAATATATCATGTCTGGTAATTCTAGTATGAGCCAAAAAGAAATTACAAAAACCTAATACCCAAATGTTGGCGAGATAGGCAATTGATGCCACATATTTGCGTGGTCCAGAATTTCATTGGCCAAAGCATGGCATATGCATGACTATCATTAAAATCTTCTGTCTTTCTTAAAATGGTTATGGTGCAAAAATAATAAACTTCTCAATGTGCGCTGCTTTAATTGGAGAGAACAGATAACTCCATAATAGGAAATATATGTAAATGAGTTGAAACAAAACATAGCCTGCTAGTTTATGTCTGAAATTTTATGGTGAGCATCTTTCTTTCCTTTTTTCTTTTCACCGTAAGAAGGCACTCCTATATATGTAGCAATGTTTTGTAAACAATCTCCCATATTACAATTCTTTTATGGTCTAAGTTAGAAACCTTGATCTGTATCAAACTTCAACACTCAATTCCAAGTGCCTACATAGATTTCCTTTGATCTGTTTATAGAATTCCATTAAGCAATGATACAACAGGGTTTTTAGTAATGCAACACACTTGTGCAAAAACAAATGAGAGTTACCTGTCTGTGATGTAGAACCAGTCCTGCAGAAATGTCTGAAAATTGAACAAACATTATCATTAGTAAAGAAAGTATACAAGAATACCTCACTACTGCTCACGATATCAGCCCAAATATCTGCTCCACCACAACTATGGTTTGTCTGCCCAGGAGGTAGCTGGTAACGGTAGCTGCAGATTTTTTTGTTTGTTTCCCGAACATTAGTGTTAATATAAGCTAAAGCAAAAATAAGTATAGAAGAAAGAAAAAATTTTAGAAAAAGAATCAAACTTACGGATCACATACACCAGTTGTTTCATTGAGCTTAGCGAGCGGGCAATAAGAACCAAGCGGGCAAGCTTCAATGATAAAATAGCAAATGGAAACAAAAAACAAAAGCAAAAAAGTGAGTTATAAAATGTCTGCTCCATCGACAACACTGAATGATAGATACAAAATGTAAGAAAATGAACTAACTATAAAATATATAAACATCTGATGTTCTCAGTACAATGCTTCCCAGTTGAGTAAAAGAATGCTGTTAAAGCTAGAAGTACAGCTTTTAAACTGTTGAAAAAGAAAATTAAAGAAGGGATTTTTTTCTCTGAAGCATGCATAATATTTTGTATCTTGATCAAGCAAACAGTTCACTTGTATTCACTGGCACATAGCCCTATGAGCCTCCAGTAATAGATCTGTGCTTAGATTTTTGAATTGGCATTCTGTCAATCTTAGAAAGAATGAATGATCTTTGGGATGGTAGGTTGATATAATACCTCAACTGCCTCTCAACATATGGTGTGGAACTATACCTTATGTCTGAACTAAGCAACCTAAGGGCACTCTAGATCACAAATTGGCAAACAAGAAGGCCAATTCACAGACTTGTTCATTTCACAGAATTCACTGATTTGTGCTGATTTTTAGTTAGACTAACAATTGAATAAGCCACCAACCTTTCACAATATCTTGTTTGTTGTATTTCGGGTTGCATCCCCCTGATGCCTTTCTTAATAAAATTTTTGTTACTTGTTCAAAAATGTATCAAAATGATTATTTTTACTGAGATGTTGAAATTTTATGTTTTCATTCTTTCATAACTTGTTTAGACTGCTTATATTTGTAGGAGTTGCGTGCATTTAGGTTAGTTTCATATCTAAGGTCTCTGGCAGCCTTAAATCTTTTGAATTGTCGTTTTATATAGTTTGTGCTTGAAGGAATTCAATTTATTATACTTCACTTCTTTAATGGCTCCATATAGTTCAAAATTATGTGGGAATTGCCTAGTTTAATGTGTAAGGGTTTGACTGCATTGCATAATCCTAGTTTGTGCATGTTTTGTAGGGTTTACATTGGCGGGATGTGAGACCCTCATCATGCATTTCATACATTATTAATTATTTTTGGTGATTGTTAAGTATTAGTGTGTAAGGGTAGTTATGTCATTTGCTCCTTTAGTCTTTTATTATAAGTATGTGTAACCTAAATATGTTTTGTAGTGAGAAATAAACACAGCAGCAGTTCTCTCTCATTTCTTCATCTCATTCTTTTCTTTCTTTTATGCAAATCTAACATGGTATCAGAGCTTTATCTTCCTCCTTAAAGATTCTTCTCTTGTTCCTTGTTTCACTCGTTCTTCCCTGTACACAGGAAAAAAAAAAAAAACCTTAATGGTCGAAATTTGATGGGTTTTCACCTTAGATTTTTATTTTTATTTTTTGATGAGTGTTTGAGTGTTTTTCCAATTTTTGTTGATTTTTTGGAAAAACTGATTGATTTTTCTGAAGTCCCTGTTGGGGCTGGTTTTTTGCTGACTTTTCCTTCCAACCTCTACCTTAGGAGCCGACTGGAATTGTTCTAGGGTTGGGAGGCCTGGTTTTGATGATTTGGCAAGGTTCCACTCTATTTTTGTCGGTGTTCCTCAGTTTCAACATAGTTTCTCTCAATTTCTGATTGTTTTTGGCCTCTCCAGCCCATGTTTCGACTCTGTTTTTGTCTCTAGAGGTAACTTTTGTCCCTAAGTTGAGTTTGTGGATTTGCCTCTATTTGTTTTTGCTGGTTTTGGGCTGGTATTTATTTTTTCTATTGTGGGAATTTAATCTTCAATGGCTGAGGGTGAGACTAAGGGTAAGGATGCAATTAGTGATGAGGGTGGATTACGTCGTGTTATTACTCTTAACAACAATCCCTCTCTTCAAATTAGAACTGTTGAATTGGATGGTTCCAACTATTTGATTTGGTCACACTCTTGTAGTCTTGCTATTGCTACTCGCCGTTTGACTGGCTACATTACTGATTCTCTTCCCCCTACCGAATGGTGATGACTCACTACATACTCAATGGATTTATGAAAATGCTCTTGTTATGACTTGGCTAATCAACTCTATGCAGCCCACCATTAGTCGGAGTTTCCTCTTATTAGATACTGCTCATAAGATTTGGACAGCTACAGCCCAAATGTACTCCCAACAGGGTAATGATGCACAAGCGTATGAGTTGAGGAAAAAGCTTCAGAGCTTAGATCAAAAAGATGGATCACTCGTAGTATACTATGTTGAGTTGAGTAGTTTATGGCAAGAACTAGAGTATTACCAAAGCTTCCAAGCTGTTTGTTCTCTGGATGCCACTTTGTTTCAGCAAATCGTGGAGAAGAATCGTGTGTATGACTTTCTTGCTAGCTTGAACTTAGAGTATGATCAGATTCGCATCTAGGTGTTAGGTTGTTCACCTTTTCCCACCCTATGCGAGGCTTATACCCTTGTCCAGCAAGAGGAGAGTCGACGTAGTGCTATGGTTCATTCCTTTATTCAGGATCATTCTACTTTAGTTGTTGCTCCTTCTACTTGAGCTCCTCGGCCTAGTCCAATTCAGTCTGGGAGTCAGGGTACACTGGTTGATCGAAATCACTTGAAGTGTGATTATTGTGGGAAAGACAAACATGATCAAGAGCATTGTTGGAAACTGAATGGTCGCCCTACTCGGGGTCGAGGTCATGGTAGTACAACTCATCCCCAAGCACATTTGTCTGAGATTGCTGCGAGTCCTTCTTCTGAGACTAGCACTCTTTCACAGGATGAGTTACACACTCTCAGGCGTTTGATGGCTTTGATTCTCCTTCTACCATAGCTTTTTCCACTCCAGCTTCTTTGAATTTTGCCCACACAGGTATTCCTGCTAATACTCTTGGTACATTCTCATCGCCTTCTTGGATAATTAATTCAGGTGCCACCGACCACGTGACAAGTGCCTCTAGTCTTTTCTATTCTTATTCTCTTTGTTTCGGCCAAGACAAGTTCGAGTGGCTGATGGCACTTTATCCTCTGTTTCTGGCAAGGGTTCGGTTCATTGTTCATCTTTGCTTTCTCTTTCATCTGTGCTTCATGTACTAATTTTTCCACTAATGCTTTCTGTTAATAGTCTTCCTACTTCTCTAAATTGCTCAGTGACCTTTTTTCCTACTCATTGTGTCTTTCAAGAACTGTCTACGGGGAAAACGATTGGCAATGGTAGAGCACAAGATGGGCTGTACTTTCTGGGTGTCGTTCCTCCTATCGTCCCATCTCAGGCTCTCAAGTGCACTACGGGCTCTCCTCTTTATCTCCTTCATCAGTAGCATTGCCATTTGGGTCATCCTTCCTTTAGTGTTTTAGAGAAGCTTTTTCCTTCTTTAATTTGTGATTGTCCTAGGAGTATTTTTGGTTGTGATGCTTGTGAACTTGCAAAGCATAAACGTACTTGTTATCCTTCAATTAATAAAAGAAGTACTTTTCCTTTTATTGTTATTCATACCGATGTGTGGGGCCCTTCCCCCGTGGTTTCTACTTCTGGGTATTGATGGTATGTTACATTTATTGATTGTTATTCCTGTGTGACTTGGCTTTACTTACTTCGAACTAAGAGTGAAGTTTTTTTCTTAATTCCAAACTTTTCATAAAATGGTGACCAATCTTTCTAATGCTCAAATCAAAATTCTTCATAGTAATAATGGGACTGAGTATGTTGATGGAGTTTTTCGAGCATACCAAGAGAAGCGTGGCATCCTTTATCAGACTAGTTGTGTTGGTACTCCTCAGCAGAATGGGGTTGTCGAACGCAAGAATTGCTATCTTCTTGAAGTTACTCGCTCTCTCTTGTTTACCATGAATGTCCCTAAGTCATTTTGTGTAAATTTAATGTATCTATTGATGTATTATTGATTGATATCTGTTGTGTTTACAATGAGTCCTATATATAGAAGATTAAAGGAGGTAGGTATGTAGTAGGTGGAGTAGTAGGTGAAGTAGTAGGTGAAGTGGGTGGAGTAGGTGTAGTGGTAGGTTTTGGTACATTAAAATGTAAATTTAATGTATCTATTGATGTATTATTGATTGATATCTGTTGTGTTTACAATGAGTCCTATATATAGAAGATTAAAGGAGGTAGGTATGTAGTAGGTGGAGTAGTAGGTGGAGTAGTAGGTGAAGTGGGTGGAGTAGGTGTAGTGGTAGGTTTTGGTACATTTTAACAGCCCCCCGCAAACTCAAGGGGGATAGGAACTAACCAACTTGAGTTTGGAGAGACTAACAAAACAAGAAAATAGACGAATACATAAAATAAAAAAGGATAGGAGACACTGTATGGTCGTGTCAGGACCGTATGTAGACAAGACTGTATGGTTATTGCAAGACCGATGTAGACGACTAGTTTATGGGGTCATGTCGGACCGTTGTAGCAGACAATATTGTGACAGTTGTTGTGACAGTTTACGGAGTCTTGCTGGACCTTGTAGAAACTAACCGATCAGAATGTCGGGACAAGTTTACAGAGTCTTGTCGGACCCATGAAGGAAGCTAACCGGAAATCAATGTCGGGACAGTTTTACAGAGTCTTGTCGGACCCTTTAACAAGTTCGCACCCTCAACAAGGTTGTTGCCCAATCTTTCAAAAGGCGTGCATCAAAGGCATGCCCCAATCCATAAAAAGCGCGTGCCATCAAAAGGCGCGCGACCACTTCACAAAAGGCGTGACCGACAGAAAACGGCGTCGACGCCATCAAAAAGAGGGCGCTGACACGCGGCAATGCACGTGATTGACAGAAGCGCGTGGTCGGCCTCGTCGTCTCTGTCTTATTAAACCAAAGCGCAGTCTGAGGATTGGAAGCATAACAACACAGTTGAAATCTGTCCTTTACTAAACCAAAGCGAAGTCTGAGGCTTGATGGAAGCATAACAGACACCAGTTGGAAACCTCTTGCGTTCCTGCTGTAAACATTCTGTAACCAACCCTTCTCTGAAACACTCAGCAACCCAAAAAACATGGCTTCTTCTTCCCGTTCAGCTACCCAGGAACATAGCCTCTTCTTCCCATGGTCTGCTCACTC